AAGAACACCCTTACCCTCAAATACAGTCCCTCTTCCCCCACCTCCTCCGCCAATGCCAAATGCTAACCCTATACTACCTACTAGCAGTGATGCTGGTCGTAATAGTCTTATGGCAGCCATTCGATCCACAGGAGGATTTGGTTCATTAAAAAAGAGTGGAACACTCAAGAATGTGTCTCCAAATGAAAAGAATGGCTTACAAAAAAGCACTCATAAATTCAATGGCGGTAATGATATGGCATCTAGTCTGGCAGCTGTTTTAAATCAACGAAAGACAGCTATGCAGAGCGATGATGAAAATGAAGATGATGATGATGATTGGAAATAAAGGAACAAGAACATATTTGACTGCTAAAAAATTATATATAAGATCCGATTCTGCCTTTCTTCTTCTTGATAGCTCCAAACAAGGGAGGGGGTGGACTTTTCCTTTCCTTTTTTTTTTTGTATCATAAATATGTTATCACGCAGTATTCGAGCTCTATCTAAAAGCTCAAAAATCAACGCTGTAAAATCAATAGCATCATATCATCAATCTACCCCTCGCTTCAAAAAGACTGCCGAGTTGGAAGTTAGCAACACACCTTTTGATAAGTTTGCTCAAGGTGTCCATGTCATCAAATCTACTTTATTAAATGCACCACCATTACGCGGTATGACCCGACCCAATATTGAATTGCTTCCATTTACGGGCAAAGCTACCAACTGGGAGCAATCTGTCAAAGAAGCACAGAGTCTTGTCAATTCAGCAGACCAAGAACGTATCTTTGATCCTGTCAAATTGATAGGCAAAGACTTATGGGAGCTAAAGGGCAATATCACACAACTTTTAGGTTCGGGTCATCCTTTTATTCAGACAATTGGTAAGCATTATCTTGAGGGTGATACCAATCGTATTCGGCCCTTGCTCGTCTTATTGATGGCCAAAGCAACTTGTACAGCACCTAAAAAATCACAAAACCAACATGATTTCGACATATTACCTACCCAAAGACGACTAGCAGAAATCTCTGAAATGATCTATACCTCTTCATTGCTTCATTACGATGTGATTGATAGTGCAGAACAGATAACACGACCAGGATTTGGTAATAAATTGGCAGTGCTTGGTGGTGATTTCTTACTTGCTCGTGCTTCACTTGCACTATCTCAACTAAAGAATCCAGAGTGTATTGAATTAATGGCCACATGTATTGCTAATTTGGTTGAAGCTGAATTTATGCAACTCCAAGACCCTCAAGAAAAGAGCCCAGATCAAAAGAAGGCATTTGAATATTATCTTAACAAAATATATATGCAGACTGGGAGTTTGATTGCTCAGAGTTGTAAGGCTGCTTCAGTATTAGGCGAATGTTCAAATGAGACTGCGTTGATTGCCTATGATTATGGCAAGCATTTAGGCATTGCTATGCAGGTAAACAAATTCATATGCGTTTGTGTACCAATGCTGATCCGAATTTGCTGTTAGTTGATTGACGATCTTCGTGAATTTTCACAAATGGCTGCCAAAATAGGTAAACTAAAAATAACAACGCCCGTTTTGCTTGCTTGGGAAGAATTTCCCGAACTGGGACCATTTATTGAGCGAGGATTTAAGCAGGAAGGCGATGCAGAGCAGGTATATTGATTGCTTGGTTATTCAGTGTTAACAGGAACAATAGGCTCGCGTCTTGATCTATAAGAGTAGTGCATTAAAACAAACACTTGCCTTAGCCAATCAACATATAGAATCAGCCATTTCGACAATAGAAAAACTACCACCTTCAGACTCACAATCAGCACTCATTCAACTTGCTAGAAATTTGCCTACTAGAAAAGAATAATATAGACTCTTTTTTCTTTTTGCATCAATAAACCTGCATGTTCTTATATGGCCAATAAGAATCTTTTTCTCCATAAATAGAAGTCTTATAAGGCTGGTTTTTTTTTCTTGTTTCTGACAAGATCTTTTTTTTCGAATTTAGTTGTATATGTTTGAACAGATCTTGACTGAGATCGTAGACGAAGTTGCTTTAGAAGGTGAAAAAGGTATGGGGGGTTTTTTTTGCTAAACTTGTCTGTCTTTACTAACCTATTGCTAGGCTGTACGCTAAACCGTTTGTTTTCGCTTGTCGAGATCGTAGCAAAAAAGAAATATGAAAATACAGAGTCAAGAAAACCGCTATTATTTGATGATAACTACAATGCTTTTATTTGGCTCCGTCTAAGAAACAATGATCAATTAATCTTTACTGAGGTACTTTTTTAAACACGTACAAAGAATTCTTTATTCATCATGATTGAGGAAAGAATGAAAAGACGATTGATGCAACACAATTTGAATTTAAAGAGTTCTTACCAAGACTTGATCTTGTCTCTGTTAGAGCCATTGAAGACGCACAGGATCGTGTTATTTATGGAAATTTAAAGGTACAAGCGAACAAAATTCATGCAAAAAAAAAAAGAAACTCAATTTGCATAGAACGAGAAAAAAAATTTATCAGATTTACACAAAAAAGTATTGGGTACCATTGCAAAGAGTCGCTCTCAAGGAGTCAGCCAATTCGGTTTAAGAGAAATGCTTGGTATGGACGGGAAGACAGTATTTCATTATCTTAAAAAACTCGATCAACTTGGATTAATGTAAGATACAGCAAGTGTCAGTCAGGTACTGATTTACAATAGTGTTAAAGAAGAGGTCTATCAACAAGGGCTTAATACGCGCATGATATTCTTGAAAAAATTTGCTTCAAAGTCAGATACAGAAGAGGATCTATTTCAAGCAGAGAGTGCTGTTATTTGTCGAATTGCTGATTTTAAGGAAAATGTAATCAAGAAACTAAAAGAAGCACCGGACAATTGGATGAGCTTAATTAATCTTGTCAGATCCCTTGGATACACAAGTAAGCGAATTGAACGATGGGCAAGAGTAAGAATAGCAGAACTGCATCATCAGGGTGTCATTGAAAAGTTCATTGCATTCGACGGCAAAAACAAGCAGCATGTAGTTCGACTTGTTCAACAAAAAAATGCAGAGAATGTACCGGAAAACAATCAAGAGATGGCTCAGTCAGAAAAACATCAGTTTATATGTCGAGATTTACCCATTGATTATATCTTTTATCAGGATTTATTAGAAGCAGGCGAGAAAGGATTGTCGCGACAGGTGAGTTTGAGAAAAAAAAAACGAGAGTATACTAAATGCAATCAGGATATTATTAATAAATATCCTTTTCTCGATCCAGTGCTGTCACTTAACTTTTTTGATAACATTACTATTCCATCAAAAGATCCCTCACTGTTAAAGTATTTGGTGAATCGTACAGAAGAATTTGAAGGGAGAACTCGACAGTTTAGATATTATGGATTCGAAGCATGGCAAGCATTAAATGAAAAGAGGGGCACGATTGTGCCAGATGTTAGCACAAAAGAGCAGACATTTAATGATTTAGTGGAACCAACGTCCATTGATCAAATAGGGCATGAGCTCCGCAATGCATTGAATTCTGAAAAGCGAAAAAGGCCTACACCCAAAGAGAAAAGCAACAAGCGGCCAAAAGGCATTACATCTCCATTACAAGAAACGAAAAAGCAAGAAGTTCCTGCAAAAGAACAAGAACAAGTGCAGCAGTCATCGGAAAATACTCAAGACACGATGCCAGCAAGTTCGAGTGAGCCAAATAGCACGATTTATGGTTTAAAAAAGTACAAAAAAGAATTCCATGATACGTTCAGAGCTCAAAGACGTACTATTCTGCTCGAGCTGGTTGATAAGTACCGCGTTTGTGAACTATCCATGAGTTTGTATAGAGAATTTATAGAGATGGCAAAACAGACATCAAATACATCAAATATTGCACGCGCAACGTTTAACAGGCTTGTCAATCAGTTACATGACGAGAAGCAACTTTTTTTGTTTGTGACATCTATTCAAAAGCCTTCTGGATTAACAGAAATCAAAAAAATTATTTTGCACAAGAGTTTGACGCCAGAAAGTGAACAAGTAAAACAATTCCTTGACAGCTACCGAATTGAAAAGTCCATGGATCTGGTCACTAAAAGGCAAAGGACCACAGAAATTGCTGAGGTCACTGTGAATGCCTTGCCGAATACAAAAGTTACTCGAAGTGATATTAGCTATCCTCCAGACTTTAGAGCAAACAATACTGTTGCTTTTGGTTATGGCTATATTCGATCTATATGGATTAGAGCCAAGATTCTTCAAGAAGCCATGTTTGAATTCTATCAAGCCAGCCATGGAACAGATAATACAATTCATATGGCTCCTTTTCTAAGGTTATTGCCTTTAAAGAAGCTAATGGCTATCTATATATTACCTTACGATGAGAAAAAACTGGTCGATTTCTTGAAACAAGAGTTAAATCTAGACAAAATTGTATCCGAGTTACCGAAAGACATCAAGCTCATTATATACCAGGATCATACTAAATTGCGACGTCTGATTATCCGATTACTCGGGATCCTCAAGTCGCTTGGTCTAGTGGAACCCGTCAAGAATGATTTAAGTGTAGATGGGTACTACAAATCAATCGCACCTGCATACGTTCTTTGCAGACAAGGTGTTGTAAGAGCGTATGGGAAAAAAGAAAAGCCTGCTCAAGAAACAGTTGAGCTAAACACCGTGGAAGACCTTGATTATTTTTGGTCTGAATTGAGAGCTTGTAATACATCAATATATGGCCAAGTAGATGCTGATATAAGAGAAGATAATCCGCTCATGAACATATGGGCAGCTCGTACTTGGTCATCAAGTGTCCTGTTCACACCCGAACAAAAAAGAATTTTGGACTCATTTGTAGACAGAGAAGCAGAAACAGTACCGCCTGAAGATAGTACAATACGAACTTACATTACAAAGAAAACCAAGCTGTCTAGAACTCGTGTGAAACTATATTATGACTCTATTCAACGCGCATTTGACAGGCACAAGAAAAGAAAGACGACAAACAAAAAACAATCGGAAAGAGAAGCCAATAGTTCTCCAGCTATCAATGAACTCATGAAAGCATCGATAGAGAAGCGCAAAGTAAACGCAGCTTTGTTCAAGATGAAGCAAGCCGAGCCTTTTGTGGAACAGACGTTTGTTGGTAGCAGAAAACTTCGAAGACTTCGTTTGATTACTGAACCATATCAAGGACTAGATAAGATTGGCAAGTTTCATTTCAGGAAAAGGAAGTTGACTCCTTTTAGTCCTGTTGAAAAAGATGCGTTGGTACATGCCTATGCTATCATGAGAGCAAGAGCTGATGTCTCTACGTTTTATTGGAGCCCTATAACAAAAGTCCTACCTAATTATTCACAAGAAAGAGCTCGTCGAGTATTTAACCATTTGGTTAACAAAGACCCTACTTTACTGGCTACAATTGAAATGTTAAAAAGTCAATGGTTGAAGATATATAGTGAAGGCATTGCCAAGGATAAAATAGAAGACGAGCGACCATGGGACACACTTGAATATGACCTACCTAGTTACTTGGAGTACTTTATTGTAAAACTGCAAGACTATCAAAGGTAAATTGTTTTAATAGAAAAAAAAAGCTGATTTTATTTTATAGTGCTGCTTTTGATGAAAACAAATTACCAAACACTTGTTTGGACCTGCATAAAAGGTTTACTGTCACACCTAGAAAAGGCAAAAATGTGAACGTGGTTGGTCTCTTGGATGCAGTAGAGCATTTCGATCATTTATATGTAGAAGAGTTTGATACTATTGATACCCTTCCGCCTTATGATGCCAACGAAGTATCCATACAGCGCGTAATATCCATAATCAAGGTAAAGAAGAAACTATTGACTTTTTACTGATATCTACTGATATTTAGATGATTCTAATAACACCTGAAGAAACATATTCTGGAAAAGATGCGTATAACTTGATAAAAAGATTTCCAGATCGCGTCATTGAAGACGCCATAGAATGGCTAAAATCAAATAATCTCGTCGTTCGTAAAAAAACAGGTTATAGTCGTATTCCAGGAAGACGTATCAATGTATCCGAAAAGTAAAGTACTTATCAATGATAACTACTTATTCACTTTACAAAAAAGATTTTTGAATATAGCAGCAGGTGTCTTACCATACAAGTTTTTTGAGGAAGCAAGTTCATACTATAATGAAATGGCTTCTAGAAATAGTTTAGATATATATAAATCAAGCCTCAATAGTGGAAAAATGGGAGCTCTTTTGGATCTTTTATCGCAGGACAAGGTTTGTCATTTAAGGTAACACTAAGAATACTTATTGTCTAATGAATAGCTTTTGATACAAATTCAAGATCAAGGTCGATTTTTTGAAACAAGAAAAGTATTAAATTATCCGAGAACGTCAGCTGGTAATAGTGTACTTGTTTGTACTTGATTTATACTAAACTTATATATGCTAGTGTTTGCACAAAAGTCATTTATCAGTAGGGATTTCAATCTTACAATACAAACAAAAACTAGCCTGAAACCTTTCGCGATGAACAGTAACGTCCACATTGGGCCTATTAGCTTGCCTAGGTCAGACAAGATAAGAGACATCCTTCTGTTATTACAGCCGAAACTAGCCATAGACTCTTTGTACAGGTTGATCGAGAATCATGGGGGGAAGGGCATCTCATGGTCTGAAATAGTTCAAACCTTAAATCATACACAAGAAATCCTGGCCGATTCGCTTAATTCTCTCTTAAACTCTAGTCCAGCCTTAGTTTTGGTAGTAGGGTTTGCGCATTTGCGATATGTTTCTGTAAGATTTGCTTCTTCCTGGTTGCTCAAGGAAGCTCAAACAAATCGATATGTTTCGCCGTTAATGTGGTACGATGCATCCGGAAGTCTTACAAAAACTGCTTTAAAGGGGTGTGGCAATGCAGTGATGAGCCATATTTTAAGGAAACCTGGCATATCCTATGTAAGTGTAGATGCATATATGTTTGTATTGAACTCCTTTTCCATAGGCACAGTTACGAATTGAGTTTCAAACGTTTTTTACAGAATTTGAGTTGTACTCAATCCTGCAACACTTGTGCAAAGAACAGTCAGTTATTTCAAGAAAAATCAAGAAAACAACAAGGAAAGGTACGCTTTTTAGCAAACGGAATATCAAGTCTCCTTCTCCAATGTCTTGTGGAATGAACAGCAATGAAATTACTTATTACTGGTTAGCACCAAATTATTATTTGTCGTAAACCTTAAATAAATAAAATTCGAAATTCAAAAATGCCCAGATCAAGCCTTGTCAAGCGTTGATCTCTATTAACAATCAAGCAACAATGCTTTTTTATGACAAACTAGAGCAAAAGGGAAACAAGATCAGGCTATGGTTACATTGTAGTATTACACAAAAACCGGCTTTTCATTAATTGAGCTTAGCGTAATCGATTGAGCGTTTTTCTTATTTTGTCTAATTTTACGAAGGATTGAACACAAAAGCTTTTTTAAGCCTTTAATTGTTCTCTCTTTTAGGTAAACAGATGTTCCTGATTTATAGTTGATTCTTTTTTTTTAAAGAGCATTTCATCCCAAACTTCTTTCCTTTCCAGTTCATAATTTCTTGTGGTAACCGTCTGATGTATTCCAACTAGCTGGTAACAACGTCTTGTCTTGATGCGGTTGTTAATTTAATAAGTAAATGAGATATGCCTTTACCAGTTTATTATTGATCTATCAAAAAGATACGCAGTATTACACATAGATTGTGACTCTCCTTGATCCATACTTTTTTGTATGTTATGAGTATATGTTTTGATACAAAATGCATTTGCTACATGTCAGTTGCCGTTTTAAGAATCTGGAAGATAACGTCATTTGTAAGTGTCCAGAGTGAATTTGTTTTCTCGATAAGATCGTAACACAGAGGTGGAATGATTTTTAGTACTATTTTGCGGAGTTTGACGGAAGAGCTCCATTACTTTTGCAAGCAAGTGTTGCCGATATACGCAACTTGTGCAAGACATGAACTTAAAAAAAATTAGTGTTATCATTCCTTATACGAAGTTCATGCTTGCTACAAATCTCAGAAATAAAAAAAATTCAGCTTCATAACATATCCAATTAAAAGCTTTTTTATCTGACGTTTATTTTCTTCTCTTTTTTCTGCTTTTTTTTTTTTATTGTTGTCATGGATAATACAAGTAAAGAAGAAATAAAAGATAAAGCCGAAAATAGTAGTCATTGTAGCGAAACTAGTAGTAGCAGTAAACCAAATCAACACCTATCTAGACCTAAATTAGGACCAAAAGCACATTCATCACCAAGATTGCCTGTAGTAGCTATCACAACGACAGGCGATAGCTATGAACAACCACAACAGCAGCAAGAAAATAATAATAATATGTTGAGACCTAATTTTTCGACTCGATCCATTTTGAACAATGGTAACAATAACATGCTCGGCATCAGTCACAATGAAGGCAGATTTAGAAATGTGATATACAGTCCAGAAACAACAAGTTCTTCCGAGAGCGATAGCAGTGAAAGTGATACTGATATCAATGAAGATAATGTTCAGGAGAAGATTTATGAGGTTGACGACGATGATGAAAAAATAAATTCTACAGCAACACTCAATCGATCCAATTCAGTTCATAGAAGACCTAGTTATCCACTAGAAGACTCTGCTGCAAACACCCTTGTAGAAGCAGCCATGGACAAAGACGAAGCTAAAGATAGACATGTTCGTTTTCAAGATCATGTTGCCGAATCCGCTGCGCTTGTTGAACGTATGTTAAGTCAAAGAATAGGCCCTCAACCGAGCGCACCTGATTCTTTGGGAGCAATGATGACACAAAGATATGAAAGCCGACAAACAGAAGAGGAGTCAGAATTCGAACCTGGTCCTACCAACCATGGAAGTGGTAGCGTGCTAGCAAGTTTAATGAAACTAGAAGCACAACGACATGAAGGTCATGAAAAGAAGAGGAAACAGGTAATAATTGTAATTTTTTAATTGCATAAATTAACATGTTAATAGAAGCTTAAAATCAAACGCAAGAACAAACAACAAAAGAAGAATAAGAAGCCTACTTCTTTGTTAGATTTCCCTATTCACTCAAACACAGATCCTTCTTTTGATTCCTCAACTCGAAGGCCACCTATGGCTTATCGTCCTACAAGTTGGTTATCTGGTGCCTCTCGTCCTCAACAAAGACCTCCTTTAATTAACCGTCCAGCTAGTTGGTTGTCTGGTGTAGCATCAAACAAATATGTTGTTCCTAGCCTAGAAAAGCGCAAGAAGACAGCACCATCTGTGTCTCGGCGATCTTCGAAAGACAGCATGGTCACGACTGCTTCTCAATTTGAGCCCATTACTCTTGATGATCGTATCCGTATCACTTTTGAAATTGCTAATATTTTGCAGAAACAAGAATTCTTGAGAAAACTATGTAAAGCACTTATGCATTACGGATGTCCTGCTCATCGACTGGAATATGCAATGCGTCAAGTATCTCGTACCTTAGCTGTAGATGCTGAATATGTTTATTTTCCTAGTGTGATGCTTATCACCTTTATTGACTCAACTACTCACACGACTGAAACACATTTTATTCGGCAAGGACAGGTTTTTGAAATGCATCGATTGGCAGATATTTATCGCTTAGAGAAGCTAGTGACACATGGTGAAGTGTCTGTAGATGAAGCCTTAGAATTTATTGATAAAGTGTCTGCCCAACCGCCTATCTATCCTCTGTGGATACAGCCCTTTGTGTATGCACTTGCAGCATTTGCTGGTTGTATTCTATTTTTTGGTGGCCGTTGGAAAGAAGGTGGTATCTGTGCCGCCCTCAGTAGTAAGCAGTGATTGTATGCTGATCTTAATAACGTCAACTCATCAAATTGTTTAGTGGTTTTTGCTACAAATGAAATCTTTTCAACCTTTATTTCAAGCTTTCAGCCTATCTGGGAAATCACTGTCTGTGTACTAATTGGCTTTGTTGCCCGTGCCATCACAAAGTATGACTTTTGCTTTACACCTATTGCGTTTTCTTCATTTATTGTGGTTCTACCCGGCTATCCGATGGCTGTTTCTATTATTGAATTGGTTTCTAGACAATTGGTTGCTGGTGTTGTTCGTATGGTCTATGCCATTATTTATTCGTTTTTACTTGGCTATGGTGTTTCAATGGGATCAGCGCTTTATATGACTATTGATAAAAGTGCCACAACGATTCAATCAGATATTTGTAGACAAGCTTCCAATGCAGCAACCTGTATCTCAAGTGAATCTCAATGGTTTAATTTCCTTTTGGTGCCTTTGTTTGCTTTAGCTTATTGTGTCTATTTACGTGCACGTCCACCACGATGGCCAATTATGATTATCGTGTCTGCTTGTACCTATGTCATCAATTATGCTCTGGCTTGTTGGGCTAATGCTCCTTCTCAAATTTTGCAAGTGGTTCCTTCTTTAGGCCTAGGGCTGATTGGTAATTTGTTGACAAAATTCACTGGCAAAATGTCATTTGATGCAATGCTACTCGGCGTCTTTTATCTTGTGCCAAGTAGTTTGGGTATCAAAGGAGCTATTGGGTTGTTCGGTGGTACAAATGAAGTTGGAAATCAAGGGGCAGGTTTTGCTCTAGCTATGATTGAATCCTCTATTGGTAAGTTAAGAATAATGCTAATGTAATGTACTGATTGCATTGTATCTCTTTAGGTATCACACTTGGCTTGTTCCTTGCTACCTTAATTGTATACCCTAAAGGAACCCAACATACACCTTTAATGAGTTTGTAATATCACATTAATAAATTGTATTACATAATCGCTTTATTTCTCTGGCGGTCTTTAGTCTATATGATTGCATATGAAAATTACCAAGAGATTCTGGCCAAAACGGGGCGATGGTCGCTGATATAAAGACCATCATCATATTGGTTAGGAAGAACAGCAAATTGAATCACCTTGATTTTAAAAGTGTTGCTTTGAAGAGGCATGATAAAATCAATGCGAAGAGGAGCCCTGTCGCTGTCATTACCAACACCAAAACTAGTCAATGTATCTCTGAATCCAAAGGGACCACTCAAGGTAGTTGTGTCACCCTTGGAATCAATACGAGTAACTAGTTCATAGCTTGCATCTTCGAAATAATATTCAGTGTATTTTTGTTCTTGTTGTTGCTTCTTCAAATTAGCAAGCAGCTGTCCGGGACGAATAACACGGTGAGTAGGTAATGTCATATTATTTTCAGCAGTACGAACAGGCTCGCCTGTTCTACCAGAGTAAGCAGAAGCACAAACTTGGTTGAGTTCCTGAAGGTTGGCAAGTGTATCATTTTTACCCTTGGACTCTCGGTATTTTGAGTTTGTCAAAGTAAGATAAGCAGGATCGTCTTCTGTCGAGTTCAAATCACCCAACAAGAAGACAGGACCATACTCGCTAGCAGGTCTGGCTCTTTCCAAAATCAATTTGGAAGATTGCTCTCTTGCGTTAGCTCCTACATGATCCATATGTGTATTGAATACAGTAAATCTATCATCACTGTTTGCTTTTTTAAAGCTAATCCCAAAAAGAGCAGATTAGCCTTTTTTGTATGATTTATTCCCCCCCCTCCTCCTCCTTTTTTTTCTGTACTTACGTTACTTGTGTTGCAGTACGTGGATGTCTAGCATCCCAGCTTTGACTTCCGGCAATATCTGGAGTCTAAAGGATGTCAATAAGCCATCACACTTTGTGAGTTCGTACCTCTGATAACCAGAAAGTCTTCCAGTCTTCTACTGTCAAAACATCCCTATTGCAAATGATTAGATATGCGTGTATGTATACAATGCCTTTCACTTACTTTTTGTAGAATACTGCAGAAAACTCTCCTTTCTTATCGCCGTCTTCTCTACCAGCACCTATCCATTCGTATTGATCATGCAAGAGTGCTTCAATGTCAAGAACTTGATGATGTACAGGTTCCTATGAGATATTAATTAAAAGAGATCGATTCGGGTACCTTACTTGCAAGCCAACGACATCAGGAGAATACAACAAGATGGTATCAACTATCTTCCATTTACGAATAGACCAAGGTTGTTCGTATTGAAATTGGGCGGTATCAAAAGGAGCTTCCTTAGCTGGAGGTTCAGCAAAAGGCGTCATATTGGATTCTTCATGGTGGTCGTGTCGAACATTGAAAGTCATAAAACTTAAAGTCATTTTGAATAATAAAAGTACTAAGTCGAGGAGAAAGAAGAAAAAAAGTACATGCAAGAAAGCGCGAGAAAAAAAGGTTTATCTTGCTGGTTCCGAAATGCTATCATCCTATTGGATGCTACAATCTACAGTAAAGAAAAAAAACCCTCGTTCTCCCCTTGAGTATGAAAAGGGTAGCTTCCAAGTAAAGTTCGTTTGGTATGCTCAAAGTTAATATAACCAACAAAAAAGGCAATGTATATGTCAAGGTTCTCGCATGTTAACAAACTCCGAATATGATTGACATAATTCCTTAGAACCTTTCTATCACATCATCATACTGTAATGAACACGCACAAAAGAACACTAAAAAAGTCTTTTTTTTTAACGGTATGCTATATATATTTACATTAAGGATCAAATGAACAAAACATTCTAGTTAACAATTATGAAGAAGGTTGCTCGGCATTGGCTTCAAAATCTTTGCCGTAAAAAATTTCATATCGCTTCTTGGTTTCTTCGTCTAAAGTTTGTGCTCTTCCTCTACGCTCAAAGTTGACCATATATCTGTCTGATTTGTAGGCGCCACCGCCCAAGCCAAAACACATGACAATATAAAACTAAGATATACATATATAAGTATATGTATATTTCTCTCTTTTGTTGTGCTTACCTTGTTTACAGTTTGAGTTCTACGATACCAAGGCATGAAAGCATAAAGAAGACCAGAGGCAAAAAGACCAACACCAGCCCATTGAGCAGCACCGATAGCAAAACCCTTCATGGCGTAGTTACTGGCTTTTTCTTTGTCGGATTCAGTGACGAGTCTCATAGTGGATAAGTTGATATAAAACGAGAAAAAAAAAGAAAAAGAAAAGCAAGCGAGGAAAGAGAAACAGGGTTTATATGTAATCAGATTCGGTAGTTAAATTATTCAAGACAAGAGAAATCGTATCATTAAAATCCTACTTTTACTTTTTGCCGGGGCAAAAAAAAAAACACGGAATAACGTTTTACTTGCGCAGCTATTATTTACAGTTAAGCTGGCTTACTAAAATGATTTGTCATTTTAAATTTCTTACTGACTTAATTGAAATTCAAGTAATTCATTGAAACTCTAGTTTATCTCGACAATAACTGATATGACGCTTAGAGTGGCTACAAAATCCACAAAGATCACTAAAACGTACATTGTTGCAAGCATCTTGTTCATGAACTTTATGAAATAATGAGCCGTAGTAGTACCTTTAGAAGGAGGCTTGTTGACTTCCCTGTCATCACTGCTCTCAACCTCGACATACTCTATGGCAGGTTCTCCAATAATCATTTCGCTTACCCTTTGATCTTTGTCTCTTGCAGGCTTTCTCTTCTTCGATTATCACTCTTATTTGTCTGAGCCTTTTGCGCCTTTTCCCTTGTTGGTGGGGGTTTCTTCATTGCGACATGGCTGATACTGGAAAAATGAATAGCATCAATAATGGTATGAGATGGAGAACGGGGTTTTTCAACTTCTACGATGGCAGGTATTCCTATAGTTGTTCTTGCCCAATTGTTCTTCATATTAATATTGAATCTAGCCTCATCAATGAACACACAGTTTACATCATAGTCTAAGTCAGAATCCTTCCACTCTATGAACCATTCATATCTCTTTTGTAGTAAAATCTCTTTATTATCTTTTTTTTTTTTTTTTTCAATCCGGGCAAACATCGCAGTTAAACCATCGATCACCTTTTGGATAATTGCTGTGTCATTTTCATCAAATAGCAGGTCCGGCTATTTCTAGCTTCGTAAGTCAATGTCTAATATACTCCAAGAATCGAGAAAAAAAAAGTACTTTGTTTTGAAGAGGTATTAAGAGTTATTTATGCCCAACTGGTATCGGGTAAGTAACAACTATAACACACCTTCTTGCGAGATTTAGATGAGGTCATATGATATGATAGATAGTGTCATAGAGAAAACAGAAATACCATTTAACTCTTAATCGCAGCCATCAAGCTACCCTTCGTAATTTTCAATTAAATAACTATATTAGTATACAACAGAAAAGAGTGAATAGAAATACTTAGCTTTAAAGGATTACTTGTAAGCGTGTTTAAAGATAGCAGACAAGCCAACTCTCCCGACCACTGATTAACAAAGTTAAAGAGTTATTGTCACGCCTGGGAGGGGGTCAAGTCAGGGAGAATTGTCAGACCAGAGACGTTATCTTCCAATGTCCCTTGATAACGTAGTCCTATTGTCGAATAAGCATAATACTTAGACCAAGTCTGTTCTGCTAATACAACTTTCATGACAAGCCAATTCTCCCGACCACTGATTAACAAAGTTAAAGGGTTATTGTCACGCCTGGGAAGGGGTCAAGTCAGGGAGAATTGTCAGACCAGAGATGTTATCTTCCAATGTCCCTTGATAACGTAGTCCTATTGTCGAATAAGTATAATACTTAGACCAAGTCTGTTCATGTAAGCTGTATAAAAAAAAGGAGCTCCATTTAACTCTTAATCGCAGCCATCAAGCTACCCTTCGTAATTTTCAATTAAATAACTATATTAGTATACAACAGAAAAGAGTGAATAGAAATACTTAGCTTTAAAGGATTACTTGTAAGCGTGTTTAAAGATAGCAGACAAGCCAACTCTCCCGACCACTGATTAACAAAGTTAAAGAGTTATTGTCATGCTTGATGGAGAATTGTTTCGCCAAACAGAAGAAAAAAAAATATGAATGCCAGCGTCATCAAAATTTCTGCATGACAAAGTAAAAATATTTATATGCATAATCTGTTTTTTTTTTGAATCCTTCAAAACAGTCGATTTCTATATTCCACAACAATACTTCATTTATAATATGAGCAACAAAGTGCCTACTCCCAATTTTTCATCAGAAAACTCAGATGTTGAATACTTCAAATACTCTCCAGTTTCTAAGTGGGATTTTGAATCCTTTAGAAAACATATGATGGAAAAGGAGAGAATAAAACCTAACCTAGCCGTTGTCTATACCAAATACAAACATTGCTTACATATGTTAACGCGTTTTAGCTATCTGTCAAAAGACAAAATGGAAATTGTAGATGATTTAATTAAAAACTGTGTAAGTTGCATCTCTTTTTTAAAAGCAAAATCTAACTTAATTTTTTGATGACTTGAACAGGAAGCATTGTTGCGACAGGAGCAGCCACAACGGCAACGATCACCAGAAACAAACTACTACAACTATGCAACAGTTAGTTTTCAAGGTGAAATGAATGGTGGTACTATTTCTTTTATCCCTAGTAAAAGAGTGTTGGAAGAAACAGATGAAGACCATGTTGAATCACCAAAACCAGATCAAAGTTGTCACCTTAGTAAGTGACCGATGTTACACAACCAAAATAGAAGAACACTGATATGTATTTTCTATGCTTGAACTAGAAGGAAGTGAATCACCGCAATCTTTATCGTTGGAAGAACCAGAACCTACATCACTTCTTACTGATACAACAGATGAATCCTTCAAAATAACTGAACCATGTTCCAACTATGGTGAATTACTTAAACAACGTCAATACATTCTAGAATTGAATGAGTTTGATGATATATCGCTGACCAGCAAAGCATCAGCTCATAACATGGATAATTAATTAAGTCTGGATGAAAGATTGCAAGCCCATAATCTGTATCTCCTAAATTTGGTCTACTCACATATATTCTTTAGACTTTTGTCTTCAATTAATTATTACGATGATTGCCCTGTAGAAATTTTACTTCAGCCCTATGCTTTTTCTGACCAAACATACATTGAAATAAGAAAATGGAGAAGAGTAAGATCATAAATGAGTGTACATAATGAATTGAAATTTACAATTTCTTAAGGCAAAATTAGCAAAAATAGAATACTTTCCATCTCAATTTACGCCAAATGATCCCCCAACAGAAGAAGATATTTTTCAGCGAAATTTGGGCGTGTTTTTAGTTAATTTGACGGAAACTTTGGACAGAATACCTCTGATTTCCAATAACAAGCAGTCTGAGATTGACTATTCAGTACAACATATATCAATACTTTTGAGATTTGTTTTCAATTCTAAATCAAAAGTTAATATTGTCTGGTATGTCTTTTAATATAAAAGCGATTAATTTTCATCTATTTTTTTTCACATAGGGAAAAGCCCTCTATAACAAATCAAGATACAAGCGGAAAGACAGTGATCAATGACTTTTTAATATATAGCAACCATCAAGAACTAGGCTGTGGAGAAATTAAAGCGAATGATGTTGGTGAAAGATTGCAAGGAGAAGATAGAGCGCGTTTGGGAGAGCGATTGAAAAAGCAACTTCATTATCGGATTAAAGAAGCGAAGTCAAGAAGAGAATTCTATGTTTTTGGCGTATTTATTACTGACAATATTATGGAGTTATACCGTAGTTCTTTCTCAAAAGAAAATGGATATGATCTTGTATTATTGAGTAAAATAATGCTTCCCACTTTAGGATCAACATACACTTCAATTGAAGAGTCGATGGAGATTTTATTTAGTTTTAAGGTAAAGTCATCATCATTATTATTATAGACATTAAACGGTCATTTAATTCGAACATAACAGGAATCAATCATCAACACAATACAAGATCCTTCCGAATGTGAGCGGCCCTATATTTACCGTGAATACTATAATTATCTCAAACCGACCATCTCTTTTATTTGATTCCTCCAATTAGTATAAATCCACTTCATTTTAAATCATTTTTCAGTTTTTCACCAATACTCTTTTTTTATTTAAATTTCTAAATTAACCAATATTTCCCAGCTTCACTGTACATGTAAAAATGATGTCAAACGTATCTAGTTCTGGCTTTCTATTTTTCTAATTGGGATAGTAGTCTTTATAAGATGGCATGCTTATAAATCCTTCGCTGTTTGATTGTTGAGGCATGGGGAATCCAATTTGACTGCTATGGCTACTATTGGCTTGATGGTAAAAATGTGGTTCTGGTTGTAATGGATGTTTTCTATAAGGGCCATCATGATGGAAATTGTGTGGAGAGGGTGGTGGACGTGGATGCATATGGCTATCATATTGTGGATGGTGATTGTAATTGTTGCTCTGGTCATCAATATATGGAGGAAACTGATGTGGCGCGAATACTTTGCTATAATGGAGTGGGTGAGAAGGAGGTGATTGTTGGTAGGATGAAGATGGTTGTTGGTAGGGTGTAGATGGTTGTGGATATGGCGAAGTTGGTTGTGGATATGGTGAAGTTGGTTGTGAATAAGGCGTAGACGAGTGCGAATAGGGTGAGGAGGGTCGTTGGTAAGGAGAAGTTGGCTGTTGGTAAGATGAAGAAGGAGATAGACCTTGTAGAAGTGGGCTTGGTGGAGATGGTCTTTGGGGAATCGGGGGAGGATTAGTAGGAACATGAGCAGTAGACTGACTTATGGAAGGTGTAGGCATGGCAAAACCAATGACCGGACTAACAAGTTTATCTTGAAAAGTAGGTGAGGCTTGCGGTGGAGTATAAGAGTCATCCTGATTTCGTACAATCCAACGAACAGAGTCTCTTTTGCCTAGCTTGTCTGAATTGGGATGAGTAGTGTTAGAAGGTGAAGTAGGCTGGCAGTCGCTGTAGACTTCAGAGGGTGTCATTCTTATCTTTGGACTAGTTGGAGAATGTGAAATGGATGTTGCAGGAGAATTAGGAGAGAGTGAATGACTGTTGGCAATCATGTCTAATGGTGGTGTTATTATTTCTGCCATAGAAGGCGATGGACTAGGCTTATTGCTAGGAATCTCAGGTTTGTTTATCGACAATAAAGGGTCAATATGTTCAATGGAATCTTGGTGTGAAGGTTCACTCTCTTTTGATTGTTGCACCATTTCAGGGGGATTGTGTTCCTCCAAATCTAAATCTTTCATTTTCTCCGCAATCTGGTTGTATTCCTCGGAATGCATTGAGTCTTGATCTTTTTGATCAGCTTCTTCTTCCACAGCTGGTCTATTCTCTTCATCTTCTTCATCGTCATCAATATTAAAGGCAAGTTTAGGATAAGTACCAATAGTGAATGGTACATTGAAAATCACAATATCACCGTCTGATTCAGGGCGTAATGGGTTCTCCTCGTTTAAATTGACCGAGATACGTAACATGTACTCAATTTTGAATGATTGACCTGATTTATCGACAGATGGACAAATATGATGAGGAATTGGCATTTTTAAGACAAATGTTTTTGTGAAGCATGTGGGTCCTGAAATGTCAATGTTTGCAGTTCCTTCACGAATAAGTTTAGGCCCAAATAATTCAGAACTATGTAGTACAAATGGGTTAATATTGACAAAATAACATTCAGTAAACATTTACTTGTTTTTCCCATAATAAACTGATCGCAGCAATTGCACACGAATAGCCTTGTCTCTCACGATAACGCCAATATGCTCAATTTCAATCGATATGGGAATAATGTCCCCTATTCTGAGTTAATGATTGCCACAGATTGACAAATAAATACCTTTTACAGCAGCACGTTTTCCAACTATAGTCAGTACTTTAACTGGCCTTGTTTCGCCACTGAGGATCAATTCTCTCTCGAACTTCTGCTCACCAGCAAACTCTACACTCTCGACATTGATGTTTTCTAACATGTTGATAGGAATTGACGTAGAAGGAGAGAACATGTCTGAAAAACTAAAAGCTTTGTCGTAAACTGCAGTCAATTGATAGCTTACTTTGATCAGTTTGTTGATCTATTGACCATTGAGATACAATTCTCCTTTTTCCCTTCTAGTATAAACTTGCTTACCTCAAGCGTACTTGGTACCTTGCATTCTTTTGCAGTAGGAATTGTGATTCTGAATGGAAAACGGTGCGTAAACGCTTCAAGGTAATATGACTTCTCCCCGTCTGGTGATTCTGCAATGACAGTTGATTTTGAGAAGAGAGTGATTTCTCTACCACCAATATCAACAATGCCTTCTAATGTGAGTTTAATGTTGTGCGTCTTGGTTGCTTTTTTTAAGTCAAGGACAACATCGCCTAATAAACATAGATATTAGCGCCAACACGAGACTATTTCTTGATCCTTTTACCCGAGATATCTTCCCCAGGAAGATAATAACGGTCTTCTTTAAGTTCTATATAAAACTCGTTTTCTTTGCTTTTAAACAAGTCTGCCATTGACCCCCTATTTTTCGGTTGAATTGATGAAAGAAGAAAAGAAAAAGTGAAAGAAATGAAATGAAGGAAACTTAAAATAAAATCCTTTTTTGTGTTACTCTCAAAGTTACACGGACAAAATCATCATTTGCCGCTCATTACACAGGCATTGGTGACTGCAAAGCTGTTTTAATCCCTGCTTTTTATCTAATGACAACTCTACTTGCGCCTCAACGTCGTCATTTTTTCACTTTACCTAAAGCACTAAGCTCGAAAAAGCAGTATTCAGAACGAAAACTATTAAAGTAGGTATACTAATAATGCGCAAGTTACTAACCTGCTCCAGGTTTTCACAGAATCAACTGTACAATGTCGTTTCCAATGTCAATGACTACCATCTCTTTGTACCTTTCTGCAATCATTCTCATGTCTATACCAAGACCCCTTTAAACAACGGCACAACATTAATGAAAGCCGAACTCGGTGTGGGTTTCAAACTGTTTGAAGAAAAATACATGTCAAGAGTAACCTGTCGGAAGCCAGATATGGTTAAGGTAACGTAGCAACCGTTGCTGAGCAGCATACTAAAAAAAAGAACTCATGACTATAGGCTGTTGCTGCTGATGCAAAGCTCTTTAATGACATGTCGACCACTTGGCGATTCACCCCAGATTTACCCTCCTCTCAGCTAAATTCAGCTTTAGCAGCGGATCATCCAGCTTGTTGGGTTGATTTTGACATTGCATTTGAGTTTGCTTCTCCTGTTCATGCACAAGCTTCCTCTGTCTTTTTCGATCAGGTATCGAAAATGATGTTGCAGGCTTTTATTGATCGCTGCCATTCTGTCTATAGAAAATAAATCTGCATAAACCATTTGTTTCCAAAAAGAATGAGAAACAATTGTGACTCGCTCTGATGCGTCATTTAAAAAAGTAACGCTTCATACGCGTCCCCTTTTCCTTTTACATTAATTCGTCTTCTTTCTTTTTTTATATACTAATGTTCTTGACACGTTCTGAATATGACCGCGGTGTCAACACCTTTTCACCTGAAGGCCGTCTTTTCCAAGTTGAATATGCTATCGAAGCCATCAAGGTAATAGCCATAAAATCAATCTTAATAGCTTATACTTTACTGGATAGCTCGGTACAACCGCCATCGGTGTTCAGACCTCTGAAGGTGTTGTTTTAGCTGTAGAAAAGCGTGTGTCTTCTTCTTTATTAGAGCCCAGCTCAATCGAAAAAGTGATGGAAATTGATACACACTTGGGTTGTGCTGTCAGTGGTATGACTGCCGATGCTAGAACCATGATTGAACACGCTCGAGTTGCTGCTCAAGTAAGCACATATAATTGGTAGATCCATCTTGCCTAAATTTTGCTTATAGAACCACAGATTTACTTATGATGAAAAGCTCAAAGTTGAAAGTGTTACTCAAAGTGTTTGTGATTTGGCATTAAGATTTGGTGAAGGTGCTGAAGGTGAAGAATCTATTATGGTAAGGATAAAAGAGTTTGAAGAGCATATTAACATAACTATATAGAGTCGTCCTTTCGGTGTTGCATTACTTATTGCAGGTGTTGATGAAAATGGACCTCAACTGTAAAGTAGAAATTGATCCATTGAATAGAAACAAGTACACTAACGATTTCATAAAGCTTTCATGCTGATCCCTCAGGCACATTTATGAAATACCAAGCAAAGGCTATTGGTTCAGGTTCTGAAGGTGCTCAAACTGAATTGCAAAAAGAATACCATAAGGTAAGGATGTGCTTTATTATGATTCATGTATTTACCTTTTATTTAGTCATTGACCTTGAAAGAAGCAGAGAAACTTGCTTTGACCGTCTTAAAATCTGTCATGGAAGAGAAATTAAACAAAACCAACGTTCAAATTGCATCTGTCACACCAGAACATAACTTTAGAGTTTATTCAGAAGAAGAATTACAAGCTGTCATTGATAGATTGTAATGTCTAAAATAAAGAAGTGTGTAAATGATTAGCGGTGAAGATAAATGATGACAAAGATAAATAAAATGAATAATAACATGGAGTTCATTTGCTGAGCTTCGTTTATGCCGCGGTTTGGGAATGCACCTATTTTTCCCAACTTGCCTAGATCAGGTGTGGCTTCATAACTGCCTGGAATGGGGTGTGTTCTAGTCACGGGTGTCGTTGCTGGTGGTGGCGGTCTGCCACTCATAAGTGTTGACAAGAGGGCTATATCGGTTACTTTTTGTCCTGGTGGAGGAGGAGGTGGTGGAGGAGGCTGAGCTGGTTTGGGCGGATTACCTTGAGGTGGAGAAGGAGGTGGAGGCTTAGGCGAATTAGCTGGAGGCGGAGGCGGTGGAGGCATCGGTTTTGCTGTATTAGCCAGAGGAGGGGGAGGAGGCTTAGGTGTATTAGCAGGAGGAGGGGGAGGGTGTGCTGGTTGAGTTGTTGGAGATAGTGGATGTCCAGGTTTAGCAGTATTGGCTGAAGCAGTATTGGCTGGAACAGTAGGCACTTGAGCTTGTGCGAATTCAGCTGACGAAAAAAACAGTTTTCGTGCATTAGTAGTTGGGTGCAAAGAACGTTGAACTACGGTCAGAGCTGTTGCTGTAGGCATAGAAGGTTCAGCCAGCGAAAGGGCCTCACTATTAATCAAATCATCTTTGCGATTGGTTTTATCTTTATACCTGTCTTTGTCTCTGTGCTCATTTTCCTTATGTCTAGCCGCCAAAAAATCCGAGAACTCGCTCACTAGTTCAAGTCTGTCACTCAATTGATCTTCTACTGCATTGGCTGCTTTTTCTACTCGTTCTTGATCTTCTTCATGTCCCCATGATGGCTCTTCCAATTCGTCAGGCAATATGCGGGTCTCAGTCTCAAGACGACCATCTTCTGTTTCGATAATATCTTGCCATTCAAATTCTGCTTCTCGCTCTTCGCTTACAAGATCTGTTGATGCGTAAGGCAGTTCTTCTACTTCAGAGAACTCCCATGGTTGTTGTTCATTAAACATAGTCCAACCATCTTCATGCGATAACTCTACCATGGCCAATGTATGAAAACAAAACTGATATAACAAAACGTATCTGACGTCCTTTATAATCATTACTCTGTTTGTTTATTGAAGAAATTATGTTTCAAACCAACTTGGAGGGACTCACCGAGTGCTATTTTTTGTCATTGTCCGTCACGGAATTTTGACCTAAAGTATAAGCTTCGGAAAGAGCAACAACGAACAAATAATCTGATTGTATTTTCCCTGGCTGAGGTAAGAAGTTTAACCTTAATTTATTCTGCTTTTTTTGCGAAAAAAAACAATTCGATTCTTGCTATGACTACAAATTAAATTTAGGCTTAAGAAAGAAGCCTCAGTTTTTTTTTTTTTTTTGAAGGAAAAAAGAGTAGATGAATAATGTCCAATATTTTTTCTGATTTAATATTCTATAGCAGTAAATTTTTTAGATAAACTAGAGACAGGCTTATTACACGTAATTGAATTTACAATGAACTACTCTTCATGCTCAATTTTCTATTTTCTGACTAGAATGCCTTTCTAATAAATAGAAAACATTGTCGGGTTTTGAATCTATTTGATTCCTCTGAACGATTTTTTTTGAACAAATAATCGACCATTACTGCTAGTGTACGCAGCTCAATCAATAAACACAACTTAGAAAAAAACAATTGACCAAAAGTCCTCAAAAAAGCAAAGCTATCAACATGACGTCTTAACAAAGTCTGTAGATAAAATTAAGGAGTATCCAAAAGTGTAGAAAAAATGCTGTATTTGCTATGTGTTTATAAGCTATTCCTTAAAAGCTCAAATATCAGTTTTTGGTGCATAGCATATACTTTTTCTGAAAATTTTGTATATCTAAACTTTTGGGCGTATCCGGAAGCCCTAAACGAGCAATTTTTACTAATATATATCATAATAAAAAGTTAATCTATATCTTACAAATTTCAATTTTCTGAAATTTTAAAAAATCGTCGAGGTATCATAAGGCCACTTATAGGCTTTTTCGACTTTTTCAAAACTTGATATATTTCTGTATAAAAGTGTTTCTTTGTGCATTCCTTAGTATACGAAACTCAAAAAAGTGGGTTTGAAGTGGTTTTGAGGTACTGATGCGAGACTTTTTACTTGATTTGTATATACAACCAGCGCTTACATTGAACTTTATTAGCAAGAAATAACTGACTCTTTTGATTGATACTATAACACAAGAAGAGGGAGAAAGAAGAGAGAGCGTCAGAAAAGCAATTGATCTGATAGATTGACTCAATTCCAATTCAAACCAAAAGAAAAAGAGAAACAAACTTCAAAGGAAAAAACATTCAATTGCAGGTAAGTCGTGTCAATGAAACAAAAACCGTAACACAAATGACAGGAAAAATAAAGCTTCTTCTTTCTCTCCTTCTTGTTTTTGTTTTTTCTTCTTCTTTCTCATTACCATTAACTAATTACAGAAAAAAAGAAAAGGTAGACAATGTCATTACATATCCCATAAAACTAACATTAAAAAACAATAGAAATGACGGTATCGACATTACCTACTAATACAAATAACCAAGAGGACTTTGCTAGCCCTACTTCGCTCTATACATGTGGTTTTGAGAAACTTGTTATCAGTTCAAGTGCAACACATAAAGCCCCTGAGAATGTTACTCAAAATAGCAATTACAGTGTACAAAAGAAGCCATTGATCTATTCAGCTCAAGAAACTAATACTGTACAACCTACTAGATCTAACTCAACAACCATGACTTCAATTTCTTATCATCCAAACAATAGTACCAGTAACCTTAGCGTCATGAGTAACAATGGTCTGTATGCCTTACATAATAACAGTGCACCTACTCTTAATAACAATGACCCACTTTCTTTTCAACAAAAAAGCCCTTTTTTACAACACAGCATGATTCAGAAACCACCTACTTCGCCTTCGTTTCAACATGCTATTCCGCAAATGCAATATTCTCCTTCTTATCAACACAGTGCACTTCCTCCACAACAAGCACAGTTTCATCATAGCGGTATGAACAGACCACCACCATCACCTCAACAACACAGACAAGGTATACTAACGCAATATCCTATGATGCCACCACAAGCTAGACCTATGCCACTACAAATAAATTATAATAGACCACCTCCACCACCCAATAACCCAGCGTATTATTCGCAATGTCCTCCTCAACAAAGACCAATGATGATGTCTGCACCAGTTCCTCCTCCAATGCCGCCACAAACATTTGGACATGTCAATTTAGCACCAACAGTTGCTCCTTCTATCGCGGACGGTAATTATTTATCAGACAGTTCACTTTCAGTGGCCAATTCAGCCGGCAAACAAGCTAAGAAAAGTCAATTCCCACCTGTCACTAAAGAGAACATAACAAAGTTTCGAAATGAAGTTATGAACAGCAATGATCCTCGTCTGATGCTGGATTTTGCTAAATACTTGATGGAAGCTTCTCCTCAATTAACTGCAAGTGATCCCAAATACACAAAAAAGCTGCGTGAGGCCATGGTGATGGAAGCTCAGAAAATTGTAAAGAAATTAGCAACTCATTCAGGTATGGGGAAGCAAGGTTATGCTGAAGCCCAATTCTTTTTGGCCAATTGTTATGGTACGGGTGATATGGGCCTTCAAACGGATGCCGAAAAAGCCTTCTCCCTTTATGTTCAAGGATCAAAGCAAAACCATCCTAGTTGTACGTACCGTGCTGGTGTGTGTTATGAAGTAGGTGCTGGTACAAAACGAGATAAGAATCATGCGATTCAGTTCTACCGAAAAGCTGCCAATTTAGGAGATCAAGTTGCCATGTATAAATTGGGAATTATTCTATTAAAAGGATTTCTCAGTCAGCCAAAGAATCCTCGTGAAGGCATTTCCTGGCTTAAACGTGCAGCTCAACAAGCGGACGAAGATCATCCACATGCACTCCATGAGTTGGGTTTAGCCTATGAAAAGGAAGGCATTCCTTCAGTTATTCCGGATTTAAATTATGCTCGTGAATTGTTTACCCAAGCAGCTCAGTTTGGTTATGCTCCGTCTCAATTCAAGTTGGGTTTGGCCTATGAAAACGGGTTCCTTAACTGTCCTGTTGATCCTCGGCGCTCAATTGCGTGGTACTCAAAAGCTGCCGAACAAGGAGATGTAGAAGCTGAATTTGCTCTTTCAGGATGGTATCTGACTGGTGCAGAAGGTATCTTGCCACAGAGTGATAAGGAAGCGTACTTGTGGGCACGTAAAGCAGCTGACAGAGGAAATGCAAAGGCAGAATATGCAGTGGGGTATTATACAGAAACAGGTACAGGTACCAAGCAAAACTTAGAAGAAGCAAAGCGCTGGTACATGCGTGCTTCTGCTCAAAACTATCGTCGAGCCACTCAGCGCTTAACTGAATTAAAGTACGGTAATATAGGGCCTCACCAAAGAAAAAGACATACTCGAGAAAACAATACTTCTTCAAATGCAAAGGATTCTGAGTGTAGTATTATGTGATAGAAAGAAAAAACAGACATTTATTAATAAACTACTAATAACCAAAATGATACATATACATATAGCTTCGGAATACAAAAAAGAGAGGGTATAAACATGGAGAATGTACAACATTACCAATCTCTACTTAAATGACGTTCTAAAGCATTAAAGTCTGCATCAGAAGGTCCTATCAGTGTACGTCTTTTACCGACATGTATTTCACTTTCATCACTATCCATCATTTTCATATCATCCTCGCTCATATCTTCTGGCTCTTTGACAAGTCGATCTACTTCCATCAACATGAATTGATTTTGATCACCTATAGTAGCAGAAACAACTTCCTTTCCTTGTTGAGCTAAATGAATGGCATTCAAGTTGGTTTCTGTAGCAAGAGCAGAAGATGGTGTACTAATTGAACTACCCGTGTATCTTCTTCGCGTAGACTGAGAGCCATGCGAAATGTATTGTGGATGCAATGAAAGAGGATCTTCAATGCCTTTGCTACGCATTACTTCTTCAACAATACATTGTCGAAGCACATGCTCACTCTCAATCATTTCAAAGCTCTCAAAATCGAATAGACTAGGACAATCTACTTCTTCTGATGCATCACGAACTGCTGCAACAAATGGGTGTTCCAAACCTTGACTTGCACTCATACGTTTTGAAGGGTCAAGGCAAAGTAAGTTTTGAAGCAAATGAATGGCTTCAGGAGGCGTATCAGGAAACAAGAGACTGAAATCAATCGATTCTTCTGGAGGAGGTAGGCCACTTTCATCGCGCAAACTTCTTATATATTCTGTCACTGAAGATGAATTGTCCCAAAATGAAGTATCTTTAGGTAAGCCAAGGATGCCTACAATCTTGTGCAATTGATCGACATAGTCTGTACCCTTAAACAGTACTTTACGACCCAATAACTCAGCAAAGATACACCCTAAAGACCATATATCAACTAATATCATATCAGCTATCTCGACATAAAAGAAAGAAAGCTTACTTGATTTGTCATACGAATTTCGACTCAGCATAATTTCAGGGGCACGATACCATCGCGTAACAACATAATGGGTCATGTACTGCGATTCCATATCGCCTGGAGTAAATTGTGTAAAACCACGAGCCATACCAAAATCGCAAATCCTTAAGTCGCAGTTTTCATTCACAAGGATATTTGCTATTAAAAAAAATAAGCAATATTGACAGCTAAGCATTTCTTTTACCTGGTTTTAAGTCACGATGAAGTACATTGGCGCTATGAATGTATTTGAGTCCAGAAAATAATTGATACATGAACCATTGATAATGAACAGGTTCTAATATAAGTTTTGAATGAATGATATCAGCCATTGTTGTATCACAGCATGATTGAATCAAATAAACTTCATTAAATGTATGAGGGTCAACAATATCCATAGCCTTCAAGTCAATAATACGTGGATGGCCATTAAAATGCTGCAATAATTTCATTTCTCGGAGGCAGCGCTTTGTTATCAACTTTTTATCAAATACATGTCTACATTTCTTTATGGCTACAACTGAAAACAAAAGTTTAGATAAGTTGACACGTATTTTTTGTTTACCTTCGTTCGTATTTATATTGATAGCGCTGCAAACAGACCCGTAAGATCCCGAACCTATCTTGCGTATTATCTTGTATTGTTTATTAATACTAAACCTTTCAGACTCATTATCAAGTACTATAGTATAAAAGTCACTAGCGTTTGCCATAAGTAAAGAGAAAAAAAAGAGGAAAAAATTATTTTAAGACTCCCCCTCCCCCCCCTTTTTTTAGTTTATGACAGACAACGATCTACATGCTTTTTTTAATTACATTATTACAAATACAGAATTATGCGTAAAACCTATAGATATTAGTCTTTTTTTTTTCTCGGTATAGAGTACTTACTTCTTATTAATAAGATAGATCAATAGATTCACATTCACTCTAGCCATGCCGTCTAAAACAGTTACTGTCTGCACACCTTCAAATTGTGTTTGAAGCAATTCTTCATAACGCATATCTACTTGAACAGAAGACATTGGCCAACCTGCATAACTTCCTTCAATCGTAATAATTCCTGCTTGGTTCATGGATAAAATGATAGGTATACGATCATAATGTTTCTTGGGAATATCCATAAGCTCCAAGATAATATTTCGTTCATAAAGTTGTTTAGCTGTGTACTTGTACGAGCCAAACTTGGGCACAAGACCTGATTTCTGTAAGCCTCGCATATGGAAATATTGACGGGTAAAGGGCAAAGTAAACTTCTGCTTCTTGCCTCGCTTTGTAGCCATGGCAGTCATACAACTATCGAGATATCCTTCATATGAATTTCCTTGGTCGAGCAAGTAGTCTCGTTTTTCTTTCAAGTGACTTAATGTTAGTTTCATACGAGCTAATTCTCTATCTCGCTGCATTCGGCGAGAGTTCTTGCCAGTAATATCTCGCGCGATCATGTTGATCACATCCTGATAACCATTGTTGCTAGCAATTACTTTACAGCGTTCCAAGTGCACAACTAATCGATTGGCAATACTCTTGAGTTGGAAAAAGTTGACGCTAGTTGATGTATGAGTTGAATGTATGTGTCATATAGACTTTACCTCTGTAGATCCAAGGGAGGCTCAGATTGACCAAGCTGAAGATGGCGTCTTTTTGAAATGACAGTACGATCTTCGGCCCTTTCTAAAAATTCCTTCGCCTTTAATTGAGTCCATGCAATTTCATGTTCGGATGTCGTAGGCACTTGAAAGATGTTGGCTAAGTTTTGGCCGCTTTGGATCTTGATCACGTAAATCACAAGTCGCTTTGTATCGACCAATAATTGTTGCAAACGAGCAGTAGGGTCTAAAGGAATACTGTCACAACGATTACTTAGTCTTAGGCACACCATGGATTCAGGTAATTCGATATCAGGATGATAAGCAGAAGCGCCAATCTCATCAATGATTTCATGTAGTATACCATCCCCTTCAGGTTCAAGAGCCTCAATATTTGTTTGTATAGTATAATGCAAGTGAAATAATTCGTTTGGTGACAAGTAGACGATGGGTTTGTGTGTGTTTGTCTGATCTGTCAGTGAGTGCATGCCAAAATAGCTTTCTGGATCTTCTACATCCGTCACTTTACACACAATGAGTGAGCCATTCAACAATATGGTTAATACTTACACCCCAAGAACCATTCACCAAACCTTAAAGCAGCGTCAGCAACATATTCATTCAAAGGAGCCAAAAAGATATCATGCGCATCCTCAAACACAGTTCCACTTGAGATATGCTGGAGCATTTTAGAAATCTCTGCCAAATTCTTTCTCTGGATAGGATTAATCACAGCATCAATCACATCATATTGTTCAGGGGCACTAGACAAAAACATGAGACAAATAAAGCAATATGCAGACAACTTACACAACAGCAGGATTCAAGTAACGATAGTAGATGAAGTTACCAATGATACGAATAATACGTTCATGAGGCTCATCAGGAAAGCTTTCTTCGAGAATCAACCTCAATTCTCTTGCTACCACACGAATACCATAAGGAACTGAGTCTATAGTAGAAGTAATAGCCATAAAGAATTGCTCTGTAATCTCCCTCAAGTTTCTTAAATGAATAACAAATGTGTCACGTACTTCAGGATCAGCAAGTGCTTCTTGGGATGTAACAGCATGAGGACGATTGGATGGCATACCCGTTCTGCATTCTTCATCATTAATAGCCTTATGGTAAATGCTGACAGGATCTGTTTCCAAGTCCAGAAAGTCGTTATTGACAATTTCAGTGACAAGTGGACTCAATAAGGTTCGAAAAAATTCTCGCTCTTTAGCACCACGGTTAGTTTGGACCACCAACTTCATAAAGGTATAGTTTCCTCGCATAAATTCTTGCGTACTCTCTACGTTCTTCATTTCTTCTGCTATACAATACTATTCAATCCATTAATCATTTGAATATGACTCGGTTACTTTTACCTTGCATAAGTTAATCAGCAAGTATTCTTCGCGCGAATTTGTTGCATAACCAAACAGAGAAAGTACAGTAGATTCAATTAGTTTATGACTTGCATAATGACCTAAATCTTGTCTACTTGTCATTGATAAGAGACGTGCTAAATATTTAGGTTCTGTCTGCAGCAAATAGACCAGTTCTTGAAATAATTCAAGCCGTTGTCTGCTGTCTTTATCAATACCAGTAAGCGAGAAGGGGTTTGCTTTGCCAGTTTGTGTTTCCAACATCCGTTGTTGTTCTTTCTTCTTTTTAAGTGCACCATTGTGCTTGAGTACATCTTCGATAGACACTGTATTTTTTAGGAACAAGGCAATTTGAATATCGAGTGTGTTGACATGCGCATCCAAATGATTATTTTCTTTAATACTCTCAATCACCTGTTGACGTAAATCCTCAAGAGCTAATTCACGATCAAAATCTAAATCGCTGTCGTCCAAAAGGTGAATAAAGTTCTTGACGGTACCCACAGTAGGATTATCAAATGTTCTTAGTTTGCGATAAGCGGTGCCCATTAGTTTGTGACGAATCAAGGATTGTACTTGAATTACTTGGTCTATGTTGACTTTATAGTAATCAATTACACGCTCTTGTTTATGTTTGGCGAGATATCTACGAACGACTTGTTGAACATGTACAATAAAATCAACATAAGCATAATAGTCAATTCTCTTTGAAGCAAGTTCACGACGCACAAAATAACCACGAACTTGTGCTTGTACTTGAGAAATAAATACAAAATTTTGGCTTGATCTATACAGCTGCATTTCTTGGTTGACTTTTCTCTTGACAAGCCAAGTACGAGCAATGGCTTGACATACGACCAACTTGTCTTGGTTTGTTTGCTTTAACCAGTACCTTTCAAACTCTATCATGCACTCTGTAAGTCTGGTTCTATATATCACAGCCTTGCTTACTTTCTTGTTCGCTTAATTCTTCTAAACTAGCTTGTGACTCAGAGTCAGTTACACTTTCATTTTCCTCCTCTTCCTCCTCTTCAATGATAAGGTCTGGTGTTTGAACAGCAGAAATCATGTCTGAATAATAACTGATACTTAACACATGATCAGTATCTTCTTCCTCTTCTTCTTCATTTAACTCTTTGCGCAATGATGAACCGACATTAGTAAAGTTGGGCATAGGCAAACCAGACATGTCCAAATGACGTTGTGTAGCACTCAATTCTTCATCTAAACAATAGGAGATTTTTTTTTAGGATACTCATCCTTTTATACATCTCCTTACTTGTAAAATGTAATTGACCCACTAGATTCTTAATGTTAGGGGCCAAGTTACGCCTAGACAATAAATGACTAAAGTACAAGAATAAGTAAGCTAAAGACCAAGTATGTCTCTACCTTAGAGCATGGATACAATAAATCACTTTTGGGATATTTTTCTTTTCATAAAGATCAGTCAATTCAAACCAAAAGATAGAAGGTAGTCTAGCCACTTTAAGAGCATCAAAAAAGTAATTGATATTATCAGAATGGCGAAACTGTAGTTTCTTGTCCTATAGAGCATAATGAGTTGTCATTCTACAGACAATCGTGTACCTGAAATATTTTACGAACAACACCAGGTACCATCCAATCAGCCAATCTTGCTAACACAATACCATTCCTCATAGACTCTTCTAATTTGATAATAGGGTCAATTTCGTCTTGTAAACAGTCTTCTATCCATCTACGAAACTATTTAGTGATTGAAAATAGTGGCTGGCTTACTCTTTTGCTTCACCAATATGACAAAGATATTCATAAGCCAATAGATTTGTTCTTTGTTTATCCATCCATTGGCTTGTATTAGTCTTTTCATCTCTTTGAAGACGAATGCGCCCTGTCTTGTATTACTACTGTATTCAGCTTGTTCTATTTACCTTGCATTCCTATTGTGTTGTCAGTGGTTTATATTCCGACATGTAAATGTAACTTACCAACCACATCTTCAGCATCTTCTGTAATCGTAGGAATATGAAGGTCTGTCAGACCATTTTTACCTGCCATGACAGACAACTTTCTTAAAGGCGTTGTATGTATTGACATGACTAAACAAAAAAAAAAGAAGAGAAAGAGAAAGAGATAAAACAAGGCACTCTTTATTTGCATTCCAAATACAATAATCATCCGAATTCTTAAAGACATTTTTATTTTTATTTTTTTCTTCTTTTTTTTTTTCAGCGTGACATAGGACACAAAAAGAAAAGAAAAGAAAATAACAAAAGAAAGAAAACAAAAGCATATTAAGCTACATGAGATGATTAGGCAAGTGACATATGTATTTTACTGCTTACCATGGCTCTCTAAAGCTCTGGTAGCAAAGAATTTGACATCAACATCTTGATCTGTACTGAGTTTTTCAAGGGTGGGTTTGACAGAACTAGTGACAAGTTCAGCTGTGCTAGAATCTTTTTTCAATAATGGTATCAAAGTCTCCAAAGATTTAGCAACGTTGAAACGAATGTTGGGAATAGGATCTTTAGACATTTCAATGATTGTAGGAAGGATACTTTCTTTGACCATCACAGGAGGCAATGCTTCTGCCATAGTCTAGTTTATATGAGCATACTATAACAATAAATAACGATACACTTACTGTCAATGCAAAAATAGTTGTCATTCTATGTAAGTAATTTTCATCAGTAATCATCTTCATCACTTCAGGAATGATAGCAGCCTTGGCCCATTCAGCACCAAAAACTTCAGCCAATTTCATCAAGTTGACAGTGGCAGCTTCACGGATAGAAAACACAAGATCACGGAGCCAAGACATACATAACTCAAGAAGCTTTTCTTCAAAGAACTTGCTGCCAAATTGCTTGGCCAAGAGAGGAATGTATTCGATGATTGCTAAACGAATACGCCATTGTTTGTCTTCTGACAATTCAACAATAGCAGGAAGCAATGCTTGAGAGACACGTTCAATACCAATAGCTATAAAAAAAACATAAGTACATTTGCTTAGTCTTTTGTTCGTTACCTTTGTTGATTGTCTCCAAGTTAGAAATCACATTCAGACGGACATCAGGGAACTCGTCAGTTAGTTGTTGTAAGAACAAAGGCAACAAGTATTCCATCGTACTATTAAAGATGAATAAAGGCATACATTTTTCTGTCGAGACTTACGCGTCTTGACCGATAATAGGAGCCAGTCCACTAATGTCTTTAGCAAGAGCAGCACGGGCATGTTGGTTTTCATCAGTGACAAGCA